GAAGAGAATAGAATTCATAGATTGGTGAAGTTGATTGATTAGTCAGATGCTGTGTGAGTTAGTGAAGTGTGTTTCTACCAGGTAGAACAAATCATCTAGGTATGTGATGGTATAAATGTCGATACAAGTTGTCTGATTGCAACTTGCATTTCAATTATGAATTGAAACTAATTGGAAGAGAATATCATATTGTTAGGTTGTTTTTCAAATTCATCAATACCCAAACACCCAAAATAACTTTAAGTATTTATGCCCCTAAACCAGCCACTCGATCTAAATGATTCATAATTTTTTAACTCTAGACAACTCAGAGTGATACTATCTGTGTTTAAGACTGAGACGGTTAAAATTCACGTGACAAAGCTCTTAACTAGCATCTTCAATCTAAACTCAATCAGTGGTTGTAAATATTCAATCAGTTACAACGTATCCTGGTAGCACAGAGAGACGTAACTGTCAATTCATACCACATAGTAGTAAAGGTGGTAGAAGCATTAGCAGTATCGGATGGATTAATGTCCGCGAAAACCTTATTCAACAAGTAGAATCTAGCGAAATAAATTTAAAAAAATAAAGGTGATAAGGAATTCAGATTCGAATTTGAGAGAAGACACAGAATAGATGCACGTACAGCATTGCAAACGATTTCGAGCCATGTTATTCAAGGTCTCCAACCATCGATTACTATTATCTCGCGGACCTCAACCAGGTAGTCTACACCTAAAAACATGACTCAATCCAGTTTTCAGTGGCTTCGTGTCATGTTTTAGCTTGACCGCCACTAGCTTTCTTCCAACCTACTCCTACACCACAAAACATAACTCATCGGAGCTGTCGGTGATTGGCATTGATAACACATGTCCCAACCACCTCAACCTGATGAAGATGCATTGAAGTGGTCGTTCAAACCAATACTAATCCAATTTCCTTTTCAAATTCTTCAAGAAATACCCTTCCACGGTGAGCTTAACCGACAAGTGACATAACCCCTTATACTTGTCCCAGAACACTAGACCAAACTAGTCACAATCAAATCCTATCTACATCTTTTATTCACTCTCGATTATCTTCAACGACCTCGCTTCACTGATTTTCTACTTTAAGAAACTTATACTACTCATTAATTAATTATTGAAATCTCTTAACTAAAAAATTTTTTTTTTAGTTTTACCTGAAAATTCAAAATATGAAGGATAAAAGAAGAAAAATAATGGTTAATCAAGTCAAATTATCATTTAGTTTATGTGTTAAAGACATTTTACGCATACAGATATACATAAATACAATTTTCATTGAATAATATACACACTATGATCATTTTAATTTGTACAGATACACAGACACAGAGAGAGAAGGCAATAATAACAAGTTGACAATATTGTGAATCATAGTGGTACTACTATATATAACATCTACATGTGTAGGATGATGAGGATGATAATATGTACAATGCATAACAGGTGTCAATTGATTTTTTCAACTGAAAATCTCAGCTAAATCATCATTTAATTGTTTGTCAACTTTTTCATGTATTACATGAGATTGAATGAATGATTGAAGTTGACATTCCAAACTATTCCATGTATGATGATAATTTACTCTGTAATAGAAAAGAAAATAATAAAAATTAAAAATGAACAATGAATGATGACATTGATTCAATTCAACAGCGCACAAGCGACTATCTACTGAGATCCAGTCTAGGAGAAATAGTTCTGCAGTAGGACAAAAATGCTATGCCTATGTCAGCCAGACCCCGGAAAGCAGCATCAGGACTATCACATACACGAAGAATCAATAAAGTTGGTTCTGTATTTTGACTAAGTGATATCAAATTAGTAATTGTACTAGGATCCTATGTGTGCATTAAGGAGACGCAGCATACATCGATGGCACAAGATTCTAAAGTCCTAGCTAATGATGCCTGTTGCCCTATTTGACACAATGTCCGTACATTAAATGCTCCAACATGTAGTGTAGAGCAGGGTTTAAGGAGACCAGGAACGACGTTTCGCGAACTCGTGTCGTCTGCATTAGCTGTGCATTGTGATAAATGAATTTGAGAAGAGTTAGTCGTGGAGATAAGAGAGGTATTAGAGGGTGTAGGAAGGATTTGATTTTGACCAATTTGGTCTCGTGTGCTGTTACGGGTATGAGGGCGGTTGTCACTTCCCGGCTGCCCACACCGTGGAAGGTTGTTTCTTGAGGGACCTGAATAGGAAGATAGATTAGTGTTGGTCTCGAAGACCTGGGAGCGTGACCACAGAGTCCAAGGGACAACTGGTTGAGGCCGGTCACGCACGGCCTTTTTATTAAAGGTTTTTTGAGGATTAGCTCCGCTCTTGAAAGCTCTTAGTGGGCAGCCTTACCGACGCAGACGAAAATCCGTGAGGTGTGACATTTTTAGGGTCGACCTTTTTTCCAACCCTTCTTTCCTTGTGAGAAGACAGCATCGCTGCAGATGTTGGTTGTCCGAGGGAAACACTTTACTGCTGTCACAGCCCTCTGCAGTCAGCAGTACGACTTCGCCCTCAGACCTTGAGTAGCTGCTTTTAGTTTCATCGTTCTCCAATCGACCTGCCTGGCATGGTAGGACCTTCAAGTTCCAGCCAATATAGCTCGGTTGGGTCATCACGATAGGCAAGACCAATCACCACGTCAAGGTAGTAGCTTCAGTCAGGTATTGAAGAAAAACAAAGTTTAGTAAATAATTTTTCACAATTTAGAGTTTATGGAAATGAATGTTTGTTGCACAACTGAAATCATGAATCAATCATCAGTCATTTATTAGAACCACCATTAAAAACTTGGGAGCATTGAAAGACGGCCATTTCGTCATGGTATAGGACTGATCAATAGTGAGCATTCACGACTCATGCACCTTGCAGAAGTCGAACTCGGGACCTTCGGTATTGCGCGCGAACGCCTAATCTTTGGACTACAGAGCTGGTCGGCATCTAACAGTGATAATGTCTAACTCTGATAAATTGGAGGATTTTGCGCGACCTCACTCAGTTGTATTTGGTAGTTACTGCATACAACTCGACAGGGTTGAAGTCCATTGGTCACGTCTTCTCAACTAGAACTCCGAGAATTCCCTTACGAAGCTAGTCACTAGTAAATTTACCAATGCGAAAAAGGATGAGTGTATAAAATTTGGTGTTTTCGGAATTTTTCAATGATTGTGTTTAATTAAAATTTATACTCTATGATTTAAGAAATAAAGAAGACTTTTTCTTATCACATATGTTGAGTTGGTGCCTATATCGACGTTCGATTGTTCAGACAATCAATCAATAACAAAGTAGAACTTCGTACGTACATCAGTTCATGTTGCCATACCACATTATTAGCACAGAGATGTAATTGTCAATTCAAATCCAATAGTAGTAGAGGTAGTAAAGGTACTAGCAGTAGTCGGAGAGGTTAGGATTAGAAGATATTATTCATGAAGTATGATTCAGTGAGATAAGTTTGGAAACACAAAACTAGAGGGGTTGAAGAATCCAGAAGATTAGGATTTGAGAGAACACAAAGAATAAATGCACCGGCACCATTGCAAACGATTTTGAGCCATATCATTCAGGGTATCTAACCATCGATTATTATCATCTCGTGGACCCCAACCAGGTAGTTGACAACTACCGATATGGCTCAGTCCACTCGTCAATGACTTCATGGATTTCTGCCATGTTTTGGTTTGGCCATCCCTAGCTTTCTTCCAACCTACTCCTACACTACAAAACGACGCTCGTCGAGGCATTCGGTGGTTAGGCATACGTAACACATATCCAAACCACCTCAACTGATGAAGTTTCACCACTTCATCTATTGATCTGCCATTCTTACCTAGCACCCGATTCCTAATAACAGCGTTGCTCCCTCGGGTGTCCCAGGATATACGTACGTACGTATGTACGTATAAAGTTCTACATTGTTGTTGACTGACTAATGCAACAGTCCATAAGAAAAAAAAAAGAAAAATTGTAAGCGTAGAGTACAATAATTACCTTGAACGAATCCAACGACTAATACCACACATATACCGAGATGATTGTTCTACAAAACGTGCATCAATCAATATAATTGAACCCCAATCATTTGCATGTCGTATACATCGACCTAATGCTTGATTTAATGCTCTATACGCTTGTGCATCATACCATTCAGATCCACTGAGTACAATTTTTTTCGGTTGTTCTTGTACAGAAGAATCAGGCACTGATGAAGTAGTTGATTGTAAAGGATTATTATTATTATTATTATTATTATTATTATTATTATTATTGTTATTATTATTGGTACAGATTAGTTTAGCTGAAGAAGCTTTATGAAGTGTATCGTTGAATTCACGTTTTTGTTGAACCTTTTCATATATATAAAATTCAGTTTGTTTGTTTTATTACAGGGGAGAGGGAAGAGAAAAATATATAAATGTATTAAAGTTTTATTAAAAAGTTAAACAGAATATTGAACTTTGAACAATTATTCATTGTTCAATGTTGTCTTAACTGTTGTACATTGTAACATTGTTTTTTGTTGAGACAATTTAAATTTTGATGATTAAGTTAGAAGTTTGAAATTTATATACTTATTGACATTGAAAATAAAAAAAACGATGGATAGTATTGTGGTGTGTGCTACTTATACGAACGATATAAGTAGTATAAGAAGGGACGTGAAAGAAGTCTCACGGTCAGAAGAGGAAAACGGAAAGCAAATGGAGCAAAAGCAAGAAGTAAATGGAGTAGTACCAACAGGAAGGAAAGGAAGCAACAACAGGAATGGAAGAAGGATGGAGTGTTGGAAGTCACGACTCAAAGATGGTGTGCAAATAGAGTGTTCAATGTAATGTTTTCGTTTTTAACTAACTCAGAGTGTAAATTTGCATAATAAAATCTTCCTCGCCTGCCTCAGTCTTCTCAATTGGTGTCGCTGCCTCTACACAGGATGAAGATCTCATGGCTCCGGGAGTTTGAAGACGGAGATGTAAGGAGCTTCTTGAAGCAGTTCGAAGCCGTGGCGGAGCTGGTCGGAGTCAAGGAGCAGAGGGCGAAGGCGGTGGTGTTGGGGACTCTACTAAGAGGCAGAGCGAGAGCGGTGTACGATAATGTGGAGGACGCTGACTGGGAGGTGGTGACGGAAAGGCTGCTGGTGGAGTTCGACAGCCCGGCGGATAGGCAGGACGCGCTGCAGAAGCTCCGAGAGGCGAGACTGACAGTGGATGGCGACCCGCTCGTGGTGGCTGTGGAGTTGACAAGATTGCTGCGCCGGGGTCTGCCGAATTTGGATGAGGAGTCGCAAGCACAGCTGCTAGCGTCGCAATTCATTGAAAGTGTGCCTGCAGAGGTTGCCCAACAGTTGAGACTAGTGAACGCGGCACAACCAATGGACGTCACCGAGCTGGCAAATGTAACGAGACAGCTGATTAACCCAACAGTCGCCTCAGTGGCGTATGAGAGACAGGCGGATGATGTCGCAAAGAAGATAGAAGAGTTACAACGCCAGGTGGCAGCGTTACGAATAAAGGATGGAAGAAATAATAAGTGCTATATTTGCGGAGGAACCGGGAATTGGAAGAGGAATTGCCCAATAAAACGAAAACATTACATTGAATACTCTATTTGCACACCATCTTTGAGTCGTGAATCCCAACACTCCATCCTTCTTCCATTCCTGTTGTTGCTTCCTTTCCTTCCTGTTGGTACTCCATTTACTTCTTGCTTTTGCTCCATTTGCTTTCCGTTTTCCTCTTCTGACCGTGAGACTTCTTTCACGTCCCTTCTTACATTACTTATATCGTTCGTATAAGTAGCACACACCACAGTATGATCCGATTAACACGATGCATATCTATCAAAAAAGTATCATGGTAAAAATATGATGGCGGGATTTTGAAGTTTTAGATCAGCCATTTCACAGATGGGCAGAAACAGATGACAAAAAAAAATTTGAATCTTTCTGTATCCAACATACACGCACACACACACACTAGCAACAAATTTTCAACTCCTCCAGAGAAGCCTGGGTCTCATACTTGACATGGTTAAAAATAGAGAAGTTATTATATTGGCATTCAAACATAATGAAGAGTTAACATGTCGTAATAACTGAAAGCTCAGAACTAGAGGAGTTAACTTAACTTCAAATCATCACATGCTAGTGGTAAAGATGAAACTGAGTAAACAATAGTACAAAAGTTTAATATAGCCATGCTTCTGGATACTGACAAACACTCAACGAATTTGTTGTGGTTTGAAAAGGTAGGGGAGAAGATAAAAACACACAAAATGCGGTTCTACCTTCACACACTTACAAACAGACAGCTTAGTAAAGAACGATATCAGCAAATGTGAGCACTACAGAAGAATCACTCTACTCTTAATATCAGGATAAATAATCAACAATGTTATTAAACAGAATGAAGGATTCAGCAGACGCCGAAAATCGAGATTAACAGGCTAAATTTCTTAAAGATGGATCAAGTACCGACCGAATTGCGGCATTACAGCTCATTGTGTAACAATCAATTGAATGGAATTGAACACTCTATATCAACTTCATTGACTACAAGAAAGTATTTGATAGCATGGACAAGATGACACTATGGAGGCTTCTTCGACACTACGGCATTCCTGAGAAGATAGTCAACATCATACGGAATTCTTATGATGGATTAAACTCCAAGATAATGCATGGAGGACAGCCCATAGACTAGTTTCAAGTGAAGACTGGTGTCAGACAAAGTTGCTTACTTTCACCCTTTCTCTTTCTCCTGATAGTTGACCGGATTATGAAGACCACGATATTCCAGAGGAAGTAAGGAATACAGTGGATAGCTCGGATGCAGCTGGAAGGACTGGACTTCGCAGATGATCTACCTCTTCTATTCCCCATGCAACAAAAAATGCATGAGAAATCGATCAGTGTTGCAGCAGTATACCTTAGCTTATAAAAGGGAAAAAGCAAGATCCTCCGATGCAACGCAATATGCATTAACGAAATCACACTTGATGGAGAAGCGTCGGAAGATGTGGAAACCTTTGCATACCTAGACAGCATCATTGATAAACAAGGTGGATCTGATGTAGAGCTGAAGACATGGATTATTAATACTTTTCTATGCAAGATACTTGAGATCTTATGATCAGAAATCAACAGCAACAACCTACTAAAGGAGAGAACATACCAACTTCCAGCTGACAAAGAAATTAGGAAAAAAGCGCTGGAAGCGAATAGGATCCATTGCGGAATTAACCTAACTGTGTCACATGGCAAGACCTAATTTAGAATCCTTCAAGCCAAAAGAATGGAAGTAGACCAAAGAACACATTACCGTGGGAATCGGAGACCGACAGAGTCGGTCGGAGAATCCTGACTGGCGGCCTATGGCTTTAAGACAGAGAAAACAGGCATAAGTAAGCAATCGAGGGTACTTTTCAAAATAAGGCATGTAGACTAACTTGAGGATTTGTAAATGCTGGATATGGTATTCCAATAGCAATTACTAAACGTGCATACGAATCAGCAAAATCCAATCCTTCACTAACTTTACCACGACATACTGCAAATATAATTGAACCAGATTGAGTTGATATAACGGAATCTTTGTTTGATGTAGTAGATAGTAGAGAATCATTATGATTAGTATTATTCGACTTTCGTCTTGATTTCAATTTATCACGTGAAATACTTTGATTTATTGAAGTATAAAACTCTTCAAGCCAATCATCTAAACCAACAGATGATCTCGGTTCAATCATAACATGTTTGATCATGTTCAACTGATTCAATAATCCAGTTAACTGATATATGGAAATGAAAAAAATAAAATAAAATATTTTATGACGGAACATGAAAAAAAAACAGAAACTCCATTATTTTGGCTACAAACATGTACTACTTATGAGTAGCTTGAAGTAATATATATATATATTCTCATCAAACATGGTGGCGAGTAGAGTTATTTAACAAAGTAACTGGTAATTTTACAGTCTACAGGCTATTGCTAATACTCTTACTACTTCTACTACTATGGGATTAGAAGTGACAATTGCATCTCTGTGTTAATGTAGTCTGACAACATGAACTGATGTACGTACATTCGAAGTTCTACGTTTCTGTTGATTGATGCCTGACAGAAAACTATACACAATATCGTTTGTTTTCATCATAAATTATTTGTGTGAATTAGTCGTCATTCAATTGAGTAAAAACATAATTTATAGAATCTTATCTACGGGAATCATGATGCTTAGATATTTTATTTATAGGAGCGAACAGTTTCAAACGGAATAAATACATGATTTCAGTAACCAACATCCATCTTCATAGCTAAATATAATGAAAAATCGTAGAATGTGCTCACTAGTGACTCGCTTCATGTGGTAATTTTTGGAGTTCTAGTGATAAGACATGACCAGTGGTGTTTAACCGTGTCGCGAGTGTGTAGACAGTGACTACCACGAAGACACTGTTACAAGTTGTTTTCCAGTGATTGTTTAACTGATAAATCAAACCATGATAGTTTCAAACAAGTTGTATTTGAAATATCGTAAGGACGAGTGTACTGTGCAACAGTTCGCTCCGTTCTCCTATATGTATGCGAAACATGGCCGTTAAGAGTAGAGGACATTCGTAGGTTACTAGTCAACGATATCTCCGAAGTATTGCTCGTGTATCATGGGACAACCGTATAAGCAATGCTGTCGTTAGGAATCGAGTACTAGGTAGGGATGGCAAATCAATAGATGAAGTATTGAAACTTCATCAGTTGAGGTGGTTTGGACATGTGTTACAAATGCCTAACCACCGACTGTTTCGACGAGCTATGGTTTGCAGTGTAGGAGTGGGTTGGAAGAAAGCCAGGGCTGGTCGAACCAAAACATGGCAGAAATCCATGACGTCACTGACAAGCGGACTGAGTCATGTTGTTAGATGTAGGCTGTGTGGTTGGGGTCCGCGAGACGAAAGTAACCAATGGTTATAGACCTTGAACGACATAGTTCAAAATCGTTTGCAGTGGTGCAGGTGCATCCACTCTTTACGTTCTCTGAAATTCTAACCTTCTGAATTCGTCATCATTTCTATCTTTCTCCTTCTAAATTTATCTCATTGAATTATACTTCTCAAATCATATCTTCGCTCCCTAATCTTCTCCATTACTGCTAATACTTCTATTATTGCTATCACTGTTGGATTTGAACTGACAGTTGCGTCTCTGTGCTGATGGGGCATGGCAACCTGAACTGATGTACTTATGTACGAAGTTCTGCGTTGTATCTGTCTGTCTGTCTGGTATTCAATTAGAAATCGACATCTTACGTAGAAATGATTTTTACTCTGTGCTGTTGCGTATTTAAAGACTACTTTATGAGACAATCCACTCTGTTGTCGATTCAATTAACTACTAAATTGTTGAACTGGTTTTTCACTGTTTACAAAGAGTAGCATTCCTATGCTAAGTATTCCTTCTGCGACTCAAATAGGTGTAAAATTTTTGAGTAGATGATAAGACTTACCATTATTATCGATTTGTATTTAGTTAGTTTCAATTATTGTAAGATAACTCGTTCCATGATATAACTTACATGAATAATCTATGAATTATTCATTGGATAATGAAGGTATGAGTACATTTCGTTCTCTGAGCTGGTTGTTTTGGTTGTGGAGCTTTCATCGTTCTTCTGAACAACATAATCAGCACAAACTTCAGAGAGAAGTGAAGTATTCGAATTTCTCCACGTTTGACCTGTAGCTTGTTCTGTTAACCTCGATCTTGATTAGTTGCTGTTGTTGACCTTAAACCTGTCGTTGTTTGCACCTTTGTTTTGATTGTATCCCCCTTTTGATCTGTTTCTTGATCCTGTGTCACCTATGATTTTTCTGATTGTTTGATAAATTGGGTCAATGTCGATGTGTTTGTTGATTGCTGATTGACCTGAGTACCAAGCTTCTAAAAAATCTCTAGTTTTCTTTGTGCTATCCCTATGCAGTATTTCCACATTGTTCCAATCGAATGTATGTCCATAATTGTCCATATGAATTGACATAAGCGAAGAATTGTCGTGGCGTGTGACTGCTAACTAGTGTTCACGTAAACGAAGCTAAAGAGACCGTCCAATTTGTCCTATGTAGTGTTTTCCACAATCTGAGCAATTTATTTTGTAGATAATATTAATTTTTTTTCCTTTGTCATTTTGTCTTTTGGTCTACATAAGATTGATTGAAGTGATTCTGTTGGTTTCTGTGTGTTGGGGAAGTCAGATTCCCAGAACTCGCTTCATAAATGCCTTATTTTAGATTTCACGTTTTCGAGCATGTGCAGATCAGTCGACCTTAAGATTTCATTTCCCAACAGGAAAATCCATGGCTGTGATTGGCTGCCGTGTATTTTAGTGTGCTAATTTTGTGACTGTCCTAAGGACGTTTCAATGATGTATAAATAAAGAAGAGTTGTGTGCTTGATTCTACTGTGCTTGCTGGGTGTTTGTAGAATATACTTTCTACGCTATATCAAGACTTCTGTTTTGCCGTTTTCGGACCAAGGTGATCTACCTGGATGCTCGTAATTGTCTTCTTTTACGTTTATCGACTAAAGTCAACTCGCCATAGCTTCAAGTGTACCTAGTGACGAACTTAACAGTGTGTCACACCTATTCCAAATGGTCTCAGTAGTCGTGCTGTATATATTCCGATATGTCTTGTATGTATGGTAGAATGATCCGTTTATTGATTCCTGTACTTGATTTCGCTTCTGTTGACGATTTCAGTTGAATCATTGTTGTTAGACCACTATTGGAGAAACCCGGTAACATTGAAAGACAGCCGTTTCGTCCTTGTATAGGAGTCATCATCCAAAGGTTCTGCATTCGAATCCTATACGAATAGCAGGAGTCGTGGATGCCTAACGCCGTTCAGTCTAGTGCTTCCAAGTTTTACTAATAATGCTCTAACAATAATTAATAAATTCAATGATTTCTGTTAAACAAAACTCATAATCATGAGAAGAAAAAAAAGACTGAAACAAAAACACTAAACTTGATTAATCAATGTGAATTCACACACACACACAAAAAATAAATCAAAATTCACCTCCCATCTTTGTATTAATTTATTCAGCAAACTATACGATGGTAAAAAGCATAATACACCACCAGGTACTATACTACATGCTTTCATTATAATGGCACCAATTTCATCTTGAAATATATAAGTGCTTTGATATTGATATGTAGCACATAGACGTTGACCATTAGGACCATGTGATAAGGCTGTAACTAATAGACGATCATTTGATATAACATGATTTGCTTCTAAACGTAATGGAAATGAAACATTCAATTCAGCTTCTAATGAATTCAATGGTGATAATGTACCACTCATTAAAATAATACAATGTGCCAATGAAGATAATTGTGAAAATATGATTGATGGATTTAAACACCAAAAATTTAATGATAATTCTTTATTTTCTGTAAAATAAGGCTATAAAATATGAAGGGGTATATATAGCAGTAGGAGGAGGATGGAGAAAGAAAATGCAGAAATTCAATATGATTATTTTAATTTTACCAAGTTAGAATAACATAGATTATAAGTGAACAATAGTGTTGTTGTTTTCGATTAGATCGTCATCAGGCTTTTTTTTACTCTCTAATATATACATGAATATTTATTGATATGAAAATGTTAAACCAACTAGTCAAGGCAATTACTGAGTCAATAATTCACAATGAAATGATCCTACACACTACGACTATACGGGTCTTCCTCTACGCCCGGTTCTAGATATGTTCAATCCTCTGTACCATAAAATTGCCAAGTGGTTAGTGCGAATTTTAGAGCCACTGCATAAATCAGTTAGTTACAAGTAGGAGTGTAAAAGACGTTTTTGAATTCACTTCCAAGGTAGAACATATGAATGTTAGCAGGAAAAATATGATCTCACTGGATGTGGTATCTTTGTTTACCAACGTACCACTACTCTTTGAGACCATTGAATTCATATGCGAGCAAATTAAGGAGAAACAAATCAATATTGGCTTACCCGAAGATTGCCTTAAAGAATAGCTCCTAAGATGTACGATGAACGTCCATTTTGTGTTCAACAACACTCATTATAGACAAATAGACGGTATAGTCATGGGTTCACCTCTAGACTCAATTCTAGCGGATCTCTTCCTAACAAAGTTAGAAAATGGACCACTTAAAGAAGCTATTCAGAATCTTGATCTATATTGTCGGTACGTCGATGACACATTCATCATTGCAGACCAGGACATCGGCAAAGAAAAACTCCTGGAACAATTCAACAGTGTACACCCGGCAATCACTTTCACTGGTGAAGAAGAGTACGTTAAAAGCTGACTTTCCTTGACGTCACACTAAGTAGACGAAGTGATGACTCGCTAAGTAGAAGCGTATATAGAAAAAATCCCTCTGCTTGCCAATACACTCACTTTTGTAGTTTTACACCTATCCGCCACAAAAGAAACTTGATTAGATGTTTCACTAGCAGAGCAAAAATGATCTTCTCAGTAGATACTTTAAGTCAGGAGCTGCAATTTATGAACAAATCATTGACCGAGATCGGCTACCCGAACGCATTTATAAAGAAATATATCGTTGTTGTGAAAAAGAAGTCAGTAACTGCGACCACTGAAAAGAAGTCTTTATTTACTAAACTACAATTCAAGAGAGATGTGACATGCGATACTCTGCAGGACAGATTATTGAGAGCAATTAATAGAACATTCAATGCAACCAAACTTGCGTTGACCTTCTCAAGTCGACCAGCGATGTCTACCCAAACGAACGATAAGTGTACTAAGTTCGCTTCCTCTGTGTGTATTTACAAACTCAGAAAAATTTTTGTAGCTCAGATGGATGATAATTGTGCTGGTGTTTCACTCTCTTCGACTCACAGAACAAAACAACAATGCTAATTAACCATACAGTCAACTATATTTTCCAGTAGAATTTGAAAATTCCAAAATTGAATCCCTATTTTCAAGCAACCGAAGAAATCGCCCGAGATATACGGAACCTATGCCTACTGGAAGAAGCCGACTACTTGAACGCTGCGGTAACGAGGTCTGAACGTGGTGACCGCTTCGGGGGGAGTGTTAGTTATTTCCATAACTAATTGTAGTTATGCCATAACTAACCAATCAGATTGTGGTTTAAGCACCCACCACGTGATCTGATCTGACGTGTCTGTAGACATTCTTTCTTGTAAATGAACTACAAATTGATTGACATTATTATCTTATTGTTATTGATGTGTGACTCATAACTGTACTCATTTTCATAAGACACGATATATTGGTCGGTCTTACTTGATGATAATTGTAATTTCCTTATTTGTTGTACTAATCTAATTGTTTTTATGTTTAGAAACAGATAAAATTTAAAGCGAAAATTGATCTTGTTCTAACTGTAGCTTTCCTATAGACTCTGTGCTCGCCAATATTGCGTTTACAGTTCTAGAATTACATCTGTAGGACAAATTAAATCCTACATATCATCATACACAAAATGCATTATTTGTGACTATTACATTTTTCACTTATATATATATATATATATATATATATAACAAGATTGAACAATGTTCCGCTGAAATTCCATGAATATCGGAACTAACACAAGAATTTCTTCATATTAATTACTTATTCAACATGTCAACACCTGTGAACTGATGTACGTAAGAAGCTCTGCATTGTAGTTGACTGATTGATTTCATTAATCAATGTTCTATCTAGATATACCAAGTCTCATATATATATGCGCTTAGAACTGTTGATCAGTTTGTTTCTTTTTCGGCGGTGAGGTCATGGTATACACACACTTGTTAAAAATCTACAATTTGTATATTTCAATATGTATATATATAGAGGGAGAGAATCATAACAACACATAGGCACACAAACACACACACACACACACGAAAAAACGAACTACACTTAAATATATTACTTTGATATTTTTCTTGGTAATCCATGTATCAAGTTTTGTTTCAATGGAAGAATTGTTATGGCTAGTAATTGATTCTTTCGATGTTTGCTTTTCATAACCAATTGTCTCGACAAGTACAACACGATAATCTGATAAATGGCACATATTATCTCTAAATAGCAAAAAAAAATGTTGCAAAAGTTTATTGGGGTAAACCGTCGATATATATATGGATTAGCTTTTGCCAACCTGCGTCACTTATGGCGTAGGCGAGATATCCGTTCGCTAACCGGAGGACGAGTGTACTGTGCAGCAGTTCGCTCCGTTCTCCTATATGTATGCGAAACATGACCGTTAAGAGTCGAAGATGTTCGTAGGTTACTAGTATTCGATCATAGATGTTTAAGAAGCATTGTTGGTATATCGTGTGACAACCGAGTAAGCAATGCTGTCGTTAGGAAACGAGTACTAGGTAAGGATGGCAAATCAATAGATGAAGTATTGAAACTTCATCAGTTGAGTTGGTTGGGACATGTGTTACGAATGCCTAACCACCGACTGCCTCGACGAGCTATGTTTTGTAGTGTAGGAGTAGGTTGGAAGAAAGCTAGGGGCGGCCAGACCAAAACATGGCAGAAATCCATGAAGTCACTGACAAGTGGACTGAGTCATGTTAGTAGATGTAGGCTACCTGGTTGGGGTCCGCGAGACGAAAGTCACTAATGGTTAGAGACCTTGAACGACATGGCCACCCCTAGCTTTCGTCCAACCTATTCATAGGTTCATATCTATCCATCTATATGACAAACAGACAGATAGATACAACACAGAACTTCGTACATAAGTACATCAGTTCAGGTTGCCATACCACGTCAGCACACAGACGCAACTATCAGTTCAAATCTAAGAGTGATAGCGAAAGTAGAATTATTAGCAGCAGTGGAGAAGATTAGAGAGCGAAGATATGATTCGAAAAGTATAATTCAGTGAGATAAATTTAGAAGGAGAAAGATAGAGAATATGAGGAATTCAGAAGATTAGAATTTCATAGAACACAAAGAGTGGATGCACCTGTGCCATTGCAAAAGATTCTGAGCCATGTCGTTCAAGGTCTCTAACCATCGATTATGATCATCTCGCGGACCCCAACCACGTAGCCTACATCTACCAACATGACTCAGTTCACTTTTCAATGACGTCATGGATTTCTGCCATGTTTTGGTCTGGCCGCCCCTAACTTTCTTCCAACCCTACTCCTACACCACAAAACAAAGCTCGTCGAGGCAGTCGGTGGGTTAGGCATTCGTAGCGCATGTCTCAACCACCTCAACTGATGAAGTTTCATTACTTCATCTATTGATCAGTCACCCTTACCTAGTACTCGTTTCCTAACGACAGCATTGCCATATAATAAAAGAAAGAGCACAATACTACCTAATACACTGGCTATTTAGTAGTAGTAACAGCAGCAGAAGAACTAATTCCTAAAACTAGGTGAACTTTTTGAATCCAATCAACCAAGCAATCTTCTCTATTATAATAAGTTGATTAAAATTCCCATGTTAAGTGAATTTCACAACACATCAGGAGGTTACTGTTACTTCTCTTGCTCTCTCTCTCTTATCACATAACTAACTCCACCTGTAAATCCGTCGGGGCTACTGTCGGTCCCAAACCCGGAATAAAGGAAGAGGAGGAGAAGGAGTAGGAATGGAATTAGGGTTGGCGACCCCATACCAGAAAAAACTAACTTGCTGAAAAAAAGAAATAATTCAAACCATTTAAAATCTCTTCTGTTCTATGAGTTAGAATGTCTTTAGTTAAAAAAATTATACCGTCGTTACATGATGAAAGTCGAGTTCCTTACAAAGTCATGAGATCAATGCTCTTTCTAACAATCGGAACTCATCCACACTATGAACAGTCGTGACGTTATATTCACTCTCATATATTTCATACCCAACCGAAGATGCTACCTTGACGTGGTGGTCGGGCTTGCCTATCGTGATGGCCCAACCGAGCTATATTGGCTGGAACATATGTTCCTGCAGGTTCTACCATGCCAGGCAGGTCGATTGGAGAGCAATCAGACTAAACGCAGCTACTCAAGGTCTGAGGGCGAAATCGTACTGCTGACTGCAGAGGGCTGTGACAACAGCGAGGTGTTTCCCTCCGACAACCAGCATCTGCAGCGATGCTGCCTTCTCACAAGGAAGGAAGGGTTAGAAAAGGTCGACCCTAAAAATGTCACACCTCACCCTGCCTCACGGATTTCCGTCTCCAGTGGTAAGGGTGCCCACTAAGCGCCCTTTAAGAGCGGAGCTAATACTCAAGAAACGTTTCATAAAAGCATATAACTTCACATAAATTATGATTCATTTCAAAAAGAGAAATAAAATCCCTAGATCAATCAGAGTTAGACATTAACACCGTTGGATGCCGGCCGGCCCAGTGGTCCGATGGTAAGGCGTTCGTCTACAATGCCGAAGGTCCCGGGTTCGAATCGTGCGAGGAGCAGGAGTCGTGGATGCGCACTGCTGATGAGCCCCATCCATACCAGGACGAAACGGCCGTCCAGTGCTTTCTAATGGTTTCTAATGGTGGTCTAACAATGATTGATTGATGATTTCAAATGTGTAAAAATAAAATACAATCTACCAACCTGAACATAAAATTTAATACAGTAAATAATGCATTGAAAAAATGTAATGTTCTATGGGTTGGTTTCAGTTGAGATTGTTGCTGATGATGATGATCACGATTTCTAGTTCGATAATAATCTTCACCACTCTCATTATCTGCAGTAGCAGATGCAGATAATTTTTGATAAGCATTCTAAAAACGTTTGAAACAAACAAACAGAAATGATGAAGAAGAAACAAGGATAAATTGTGTTTTGAATGATCAGACAGAGAACAATCACAAAGTCTATGTAAACGAACAATTATAATACATTGTGTTAAACCTACACACGTAAAGACACGTCATTTTGATATGCTTGAACTATTACGAGTTTACCTTAGTAGGAATATGAGAGCGAGGATCGACATGTTACTCACATCCGATTATCCCAACCCCCAATAATGAGTAAAAATAAGAAGACTGGTTATGAAGTAGCACCTGTATTCTACAAGCATCCAGAAAGTATGAGGTCCGAGTTCATAAAAGAATCAGGATCCTGCACTAGGGATCCGGGACCAGGTCTTGGTCCTGGTCATGAAACATTACAGATAATGCGTATTTATGCATTTTGGTCGAATAGGAAACATCATCGAAGTCTGTGACATTGATAGTCAGGATGACCAATAAGAAACAACATTGGAGCACGTGACATTGATATCTAGGACGACCATAAAATAAACCAATTATTCTCTTAGGATATTGGATGAATATCCTAACACATTGCTTTCATGTGAAGAAATTTGAAAAAAAAGTTTACTCAAAATACTTTTGTTACGAATGTAGTACATCAACACGTCCATTTGATATTCTTGAAACTATTACGAGTTTACCTTAGTCGGTAAATGAGACAGAGGATTGATGATCCAGTGACATGATAGGCTACTCTAATCCGAGCGTCTCAAACCTCCCATTGAATAGAAGAAGAAGACTCGATATGAAGTAGAACGTGTATTCTACAAGCATTCAGAAAGTACCAGGTCCAAGTCCAGAAGAGGATAAGTATCCCGGACTAAGGTTCCGGGTTATAAAACGTTACAGATAATGCATATTTATACAATTAGGTCAGATAGGAGACAACATTTAAAGTATGTGACACTGATAGTTAGGAAAACCAATAGGAACTGACCAATAGAATTAGACTTACAAAATAATTCTCTTAGGATATTGAATGAATGTCCTAACAACTTTAAAGACCATACCGACAACAATGTAAACCTATAAGCGAAAAATAGTGTCTTATTTCTAAAATTGACAGCTTCAAACGCTTTCCTTCCCTATTGAATAAAGATGGTAGCGTTATAGGCGCTGGCTGTCTGCAAAAAACGTCTTCCTATCATCCGCACTGCAGTACAATCAATAGTTTGATTTCGAGTAAATCGAGTTGTTTCTCTGTTTTAACAAGGTGAAATCAGATTAATGACTTTACTAGGATCGTGTATGCGCGTTTCCCAGACGCAGCATACATCCAAGGACCGACATTCTAGAGTCCTAGCTAAGGAAGCCTCTTGTCCTACCTGACACAATGTTCGTACATTATAAGCTCCAACATGTAATCTAGAACGGAGTTTCAGGAGACCAGTAGTAAAGTTTCGTGAACTCGCATCGTTAGCATTAGCGGTGCAGTGTGATAAAGGAATGGGAGAAGATTTAGTCGTGAAGATAATATAGATATTAGGGGGTGTAGGAAGAATTTGTTTGTGACCGATTCGGTCTCGCGTGCCGTTACGGGTACGAGGGCAGTTGTCACTTCCCGGCTGCCCACACTGTGGAAGGTTGTTTATTGAGGAACCTGAAAAGGAAGGTAGAATAGTGTTGGCCTTAACGACGTGGGAGCGTGACCGCAGAGCCCAAGGGACAACTGCTTGAGGCCGATCACGCACAGCCTTTTTATGAAAGGTTTTTTGAGTATTAGCTCCGCTCTTTTAAAGCCCTTAGTGGGCAACCTTATCGCCGGAGACGGAAATCCATGGGGTAGGGTGAGGTGTGACATTTTTAGGGTCGACCTTTTCTAACCCTTCCTTCCTTGTGAGAAGGCAGAATCACTGCAGAAATGCTGGTTATCCAAGGGAAACACCTTACTGCTGTCACACCCCTCTGCAGTCAGCAGTACGACTTCACCCTCAGACCTTGAGTAGCTGCTTTTAGTCTCATCGTTCTCCAATCGACCTGCCTGGCATGGTAGAACCTTCAGGAACATAAGTTCCAGCCAATATAGCTCGGTTGGGTCATCACGATAGGCAAGCCCGACCACCACATCAAGGTAGTACAACATCGCTGTCGAAACTTAAGTTACTATTTTTTATCTTTACCGTTATTATTCAACCTATATGCTTGGAATCGTAAAACCAGCGTAGCTCTAAGTAAATTGAATTATTATTATTATTATTACGAATAGGCAGGCTTGGACATTATGTCAAAAAAAGGCAACTAAAGTTAACAGAATCGTATGTATTTAAAAAAATAAGAAGCTAAGATTAAGAAAATTATCGAAAATAAACTTACACTTTGTTCAATAAATTGTCTTGGTCCAAGACCTACAGTAGACATAAGTCCACAAATTTCTCGTCCAGTCCATACTTGAGTTGGTTGTGTTGTTTCCCCGGCTCGTACAAGGCGTGATAATGTTAACTGCATAACACGTGATATTCCATCAATCTACATACATATATGTGCGGGGAGAAAAACGAGAATAGTTTCGATACTAAGCAAGTTAGTTAGTCAGTCAGTCAGTTAGCTATAACGCAGAACTTTGTATGTACGTACACATCAGTTCAAGTTGCCATACCACATTAACACACAGAGATGGAATGGTCAATTTAAATCCCATAGTGGTGGAGATAGTAGAAGTAGAGCGAAGATAAATGATCCAGTGACACGATAGGCCACTCTTATTCGAGCGTTCCAATGCTATGCTAACGATATCAAAAGTCTAGATATGGTGTAGAAAGTGCATTCTACAAGCACCCAGAAAAAATTGAGGTTGATAAGCACACAATTCGAGTTTATTTATACATGATAGAAACGTCCTTGGGAGAGCCACAAAAATAGCGTACTAAAATAACACACCAACCAATGACAGTCAAGGATTTTCCTGGGCGGGAAATGCAATCTCAAGGCCAAATGATCAGCCCATGAATAAAATACAAAATTAGAACCTATATCAAGTGAGTTCTAGGGATTTAACGTCCCTATCAGCACTGCTGGTAAATGATGCTCAGGTTTATTTTAAACTTACTACGATATCAGTCAATAATAATGGATGCTGAAATAGACAAGGGTTTTTTTTCATGTCTCATCCGCCTTAGTTGATAAACGTACATTTTATAACTATTATTATAGAAACCCGGAAGCACTGGGGGCCGTTTCGTCCTGGTATGGGACTCGTCAGCAGTGCGCATCCACGACTCCTGCACCCCGCAGTATTCGAACCCAGGACCTTCAGTACTGTGCTCGAACGCCTAACTATTGGACCACTGAGCCGGTATCTAACGGTGTTAATGTCTAACATGGTTACAAATAAAACTTAACAATCTTCACAACAACCCCGCAATGCAATTACATGTTTTCACTAGTGACTAGCTTGGTGAGGAGTCTTCTCCGAGTTCTAGTGGGAAATCGTGACCAGTGAAGTTCAAACCTGTTCGAATGTATACAGTGTATGAGGTTGCGCAACTCCGTGAATTCGATCAAGTTAGATATTAACATCGTTAGACACCGGCTCAGTGGTCTAACGGTTAGGGCGGGGTGCAGTAGTCGTGGATGCGCACTGCTGAGGAGTCCCATACTAGGACGAAACGGCCGTCCAGTGCTTCCAGGTTTCTAATGATGGTCTAACATTGATCGATTCATGGTTTCAAAAATGTGTAACTTAACAATCTTCACAACAACCACGCAATGCAATATTATTATTAGAGTGAATAAATTTCTTGGCTAAACTTACCATAGTAATTAATGTTGAACAAGCTTGAGGTTCGAATCCAACTGTTCCTTAACAATGAAAAAAATAATTAAAACACGAATAAATAAAACAATGAAATTGATTGTTACATTTTAAAAAAAATACAATGTATTTTTGTAGATATTTTAATAAGTATTTCTGAAACAATACGTACTTACATGTTATTAGTGAAATTAAGACATCGAAAAAATTGATAACTGATTTCATCAACTATTTTGGACAGAATAGTAACATAGTTCAGTTCTAGGAACTGGACACAATCTCATCCGACTGGTCTCAATTCCTGATTTTCCCAATTTATAAAAAAAGGACAAAATACTTCTTGTAACGATCACAGGGGAATAAGTCTAACTAATATAGTTTTTAAATTGTTAGCCTTGATTATACTTAGATGCCTTACTAGTGCTCGTGAAAAGCAGAATAGAGAAAACCAGGCTGATTTCAGACCTGGACGTGGATGTATAGACCACATTTTCACACTAAGACAGGTCTTGGAACACAGGCATACATTTAGACGTCCTACAATAGTTGTCTTGCTGGACTTTAAAGCGGCATTCAACTCTGTTGATCGTGAGGTTCTGTGATAGTGTCTGTCATTGAAAGGTGTACCAAAGGTCGACATCAGATTTGCAGACAGATAGATGCAAATGTCAATCTAAATTCTACAGTGCTTGACTTAGTGAAAGTATGAACAGCAATAGGAAAGATTAAGGTTTTAAGATATTATTTAAGCAGTATAATCTAGTGAATTAAATCGTTTGCAATGTCGCAGGTGCATCCATTCTTTGTGTTCTCTCAAATCTTAGTCTTTTGAATTCCTTATCACCTTTATCTTTCTGCTTTTAAGGTTATTTCACTGAATCATACTTCTTGAATAATATCTTCTAATCCTAACCTGTCCGATTACTTCTAATACCTTTACTACCTCTACTACTATTGGATTTGAATTGACAATTACATCTCTGTGTGCTAATAATGTAGTATGGCAACATGAACTGATGATCTTACGTACAAAGTTCTACGTTGCATCTGACTGACTGACTGAATGCTTTCCAATAAGAGCTTCAAACAACTCAACAATAAAGATGCAATGTGTCACGATGTTTGATTGTTTACATTCAGTTAGTCAGGTACGTGCAACGTAGCACTTGGTATGTACGTACATCAGTTCAAGTTGCCATACCACATCAGCACACAGAGAAAAAAATTGCCAATTCAAATCCAATAGTAGTAGAGGTATTGGAAGTATTAGTGGTAATGAAAAATATTATGGACTGAAGATATCATTTAAGAACTATGTCTCAGTGAAATAAGTTTAGAAAAAGAAAGATAAAGGAGTTGAAAGAAGTCAAACAATGGATGCACCTCGGCCATTGCAAACGATTTTGATCCATGTCATTCAAGGTCTCTAACCACCGATTACTATTATCTCGCAGACCCTAACCCAGATAGTCGACACCTACCAACATAGCTTAATCCAGTTGTCCGTGACTTCATGGATTTTTGAAATGTTATGGTTTGGCCACCCCTAGCTTTCTACTAACCTATTCCTTATATCGCCAAACATAGCTCAATGAAGCAGTCAGGCATACATAACACATGTCTCAACCATCTTAACTGATGAAGTTTCACTACTTCAACTAATGAGCTTCCATTTTTGCCTAGTTCGCTTTTCCTAACAACAACATCGCTTACTAGACAGTCCCTGGATAGATAAGTAATGCTTGCAAGACACTAGTCACCTACGAATATCCTCGCTTCTCAGGGACTATACTTAACACCCATGTAGTAGGATACAGCACAGCAACAAAATTAATATACGGATCCTTAGGTAATCACCTGCCAGTCACTCTTTCTCTCACTATGGTTCATATCTGTGTATATTTTTGCAACAATTAACCATAGTTTGAAGAAATAGAAATTTTTTTTGGGGAAAATTATTTTTCATTGGATAAGAAGAAAGAAAAACAAAAACTTGCCCAACTTACTTAATCCTTCCAAATTATCTTTGGCACTTTTTAATTGATACTCAGTTATTGTAAATGAAGCAGCTTCACGTGATGCATCTTCTATGTTATGAGCTTCATCCAAAATGATCACATCATTAGTAACATCAAGAGAAGTCTTTACGAGAAGAAGAACAAGATGATGAAGAAATAACACACAATACTAAAACAACAACATACAGCAGAACGATTCATTGGATCCAACAAGTAATCATATGGACAGAAAATAATATCAGCTGATTTAGCCAATGTACGTGAACAATAATATGGACAACTAGGAATCTAAGAAATGAAATGAAATGAAAACACAAATTTAGTCGGGAAAAAACAACTTACTGGAATTAAAGTTTGTACTAAATCTTCAATATCCCATGGTCCTTTACGGTGTAATTTATCAATAGCAGAAGATAAATCGGATTTTTTACGTGGCATATCATAAACACATACACTGGACTATATTTCGGAGGAGAGGAGGGGCAAACAAAAGACATTGAATTACAAGGAAATATACACACTAACCAATAATAAATTATGACATGAATCGGTAACATTTGAAGTTGATGAAATTTCCGGATTAATGCATGTATGTTTACGACTACTCAAAATAGACATTCTATATATAATTGATAAATGAAGAAAGAAAATAATGTTTTTTTTTTCATTTTGAATATACACAATTTACTTCATATATTTATATTTGGTTTTTCTTAATTCTCTAATAACTTGTGTAATTTGTTTATGCGTTCTTGTACAATAATAAATTTTTGGACTAAACAAAACAAGAATATTACACAAAGAATAGAAAGGAAAATTGTATTATATTATTAGGATTATTACTTTCCAAGTGTAGATTTTTTATCATCTAATAATAACACATCGTCAATGTTATCTAAAAATAAAATAAAAGAAATAACATTAAACATTGTCAAGTTACTTAGATATTTAATAAGAAAAAAAAACAACCAAATATCTATGTTTGTACAATAAAAACTACCATTCATTTGATTACTGTGATTATATATCTTACTCAAGTATTATTGAGGCTAATGATTTTGACATTTATATTTAGTTAGACTTTATTCCCTTGTGATAGTCACAAGAAGACTTGTATCCTTTCTTATAGATTGGGATAATCAGTGATTGAGACCAGTCGGATAAGATTATGTCCAGTTCCCAGATTCTAAGCAAGATCTTAGTCAATCTAGCTGCTAAAACTGGAACATTATCCTTAAAAATCTCAGGGGTCAATGTATCAGGACTTGCAGCTCTCCCTGGCTTCAGGTTTCCTATAGCCTTTTCCTAATACCGGTTTCTTTGATAAGTCGGAGGAGTTAAGTTGATTTGCCATTTAGGTTGACTGGAGATCGTGGGCAACTGAAGTGTGGCTGAAGGCCAGTGTTCTGTCCATTGATCTAATCTTCTAGATTGAGAACAAATAATAAGCCCATCATTTTCCTAGATGGGCTTAGGAATCTCGTTGTAATCATGTAGTGTAACAACTTGGACCGATACATATACGCATCAGGTGGTGCATAGAGATCTTGATGCCTTCTTGTACCAATGTTTTAAGTAAAATAAAGTACCAGGTTTTACCTTCAGTATGACTGGCGGCCCTCATCATTACTGTCCTATCCAGTCTAATCCAAATTCAGTTAACACTATGCACCAAAGTGGAAAATGTGTGAAAAATAAACTACTGACCTTGGTAAACACTGAAAGACTCGTTTAATCTAAGGATTCCCTTGCTTGTGATCGTCCCAAATTTGAACACCCATAATCTACGAGTATTTTTACCATCCAGGTACCATAACGCCCATATAGAACTGAGAGAGACGAACATAAATGATTTCAAACCAGCTTTCTGCATAGCCTAAAAGACTTTATCAGCTACTAACTTGTCTGGATTGATGCAACTCCCTAAACAAATGGAATGCCCCAGTAAATTGATAGTTGAGAGGAAGCCTTGGACCTACGTTTCATGCTCATCGGCAAAGTGTACCTGGAATCTTGAGAGGGTTACATTCCGTATCACTCGGCCCCATATTCAGAGAAGTTATCAATGAGCTGTCCAGACTACGACTAAGCTCCTGTAAGACTGACGTGCATTAACAAATGATCGATCAATAGGTAGCAACCCATGTCATGCGTTTCAGAAACAAAGTCAGTACTAGTTGTTATCCCCATTAGTTAATGCTTAACTACGCTAGGAAGCCTAAATAAATGATGGAAACTTAAGAATAACTAATGTAAGGATCTGGATCAAAGCGTAAGAATAAGTTGCAATATTAGTTTACAGTTTAATCAGTTAGGTAATTACTGTAGCATACAAACTGAGGTTTGAACTGAGGAATAACTGCCTAGATAGATACAGTTTTAATCTATTCACTCATTAGTTTGGTAAAAACATTAGCAATAATTATTGAACGTATACAGCAATCGTGTAGTACGAGTAAAACAAAGATAATTGTTCTTCGGAGAAAAACCTAATAGGTTGACATACGAACAAATAGATAAGCTCCGATAGAATGCGCTTAAGAGTCAACCAAATACAGTTAAAAATTAATAACAGATATATGTATATAACGTACCATAACTTTCGCTATCCACTTTAGTATTAACGGTGCACACTAATTTAATTCAGCACAATTAAACACGGTTCCGAATTTCTTACCATTTTTGCTATCATCTAATAAGTAGGTTTGGATGGAAAAAGACAGTTACCTACTTTTCTTCTTCTCCAGCCAACCTAGAGAGGCACACAATAAAGAAAGAGTTTTTCCCGTGCCAGTAGGTGATTCCAAAAGACAATTCTGTTTGTTTTCCAATGATTCGATAACCTGAAAGTGAAGCGTAGTAAAAACCCTTACTCTCGTCATCATTGACATTTGGCAACCATAGGGCTTGTGTGGGAAGCTTACTGTAACACCACGAATTGTAAATTCGAATGCTTGCATCTTGTAATCGCTTTTGACATAGGTCGTAATTTCGCCTTGAAGCTGGTATATATAAACAAAAATACGAAAATATTTTCTCGTAATATGGTTTGTTCTCTCTTACAATAGGTTGTTGCTGATTGTTTCTGTCTAATGGATCTGAAATATTTTGCGTAGAAAACTGTTAATGAACACTTGTATCTTCTGGATGATGGCTTTCGTATTTCTTCAAGCTTCCGCTCCATACAGTAGAACTGTCTTAACATTTGTATTAAAAATTGTGACTTTGGTGTTTGTTGATAGTTGTTTGGAGCTCCAGATATTGTTCACTTGCAGAAATGAAGTGCTTTATTTGCCGATCCGCACCTTCATATTTGCATCACATTCGCCTTTCTCGTCAATGAGGCCGCCTAAATATGTAAAGGTTTTCCCTTCATGTATGGTAAGCCCTGCTGTTTCACTGGTTGTCTTTTCTTGCATTTGTTGTTGCGTGCGTGATAGAAGGGCGGGATCATCTGCGAATTCCGAGTCGTCCAGTCGCATCCTGGCAGTCCACTGTATACCGTGCTTCCTTCCAGATGTTGACGTCTTCATAATCCAATCGATCACCAGGAGAAAGAGAACGGATGATAATAAGGAAGCAAGCCTGACACCGGTCTTCACCTCGAAAAAGTCCGTCAGATGCCTTTCGTGCAGGAGTTCGAAGTTTAATCTCTCAAAAGAATTTCGTATGATGTTGACTATCTTCTCAGGCATACCGTAGTGTCGAAGAAGCCTCCATAGTGTCGTTCTGTCCACACTCTCTAATGTTTTCTCGTAGTCAATGAAGTTGATGTAGAATGGTGAATTCCATTAAATTGGTTGTTCCAAAATGATACTTAATGCTGCAATGTGGTCAGAACACGATAGATCCTTACGAAATCCAGCCTGTTTATCTCGAAGTTGGGCAACTACGAAGTCATTCATTCTGTTTAACAAGACCCTGTTGAAGACTTTACCTGGTATTGAGAGAAGGGTGATGCCTTTGTAGTTGTCAAACTTGCTGAGATCTCATTTCTTTGGTATTTTAATGAGGTACACTTCTTCCTAGTTTTTTAGTGCTTGTTCTTCATCCTAAATCTTTTTAAAGAGAATGTGGAATATTTTTGCAATGGGGCCACGCCTGTTTTCACTGCCTGTGCTAGAATGTTGCCTGTTCACGCTGCTTTGCCGCTCTTCAGCTGTCCGATGGTCATACTGATCTTTTCAA